CCATGGGTTCAAGACCAGCCTGGGCAACTTGGTGAGACCTCATCTCTACAATAAATCAAAAAATTAGGTGGGCATGGTGGCACACTCCTGTAGTTCCAGCCACTTGAAAGGCTGAGGCGGAAGGATCACCTGAGCCCAGCAGGTTGAGACTGTGGTGGCCTTGAGCATGCCACTTCACTCCAGCCTGGGCAACAGAGTGAGACACCAACTTGAAAAAAAAAAAGGTATTGTTTTCATTAGAATGTCTGAAAGGACTGTATAGTATATTTGATAACAGTATTCACATTGTTTCAATGTGATTGAAGGAGGAGAGAAGAAACAAAGGAATAGAAAGGGCAATAAATCCTTGGCTATTTCAGGTCCTTTGCTTTTTTGATGTGATAACCCTATAGGATAATGAAGTTGATTCATGTGGTTAGTACCTACACTTGATATGAATAATTCAATTAAGTATAGTGTAAGTCTCCTCATGACCTGACATGGCCTTTTCTCCCTGCATATGTTATTCCTTCTGTCTTATTGCTATAGGTAAACATGCTATTCCTAACTTGGTAAAGAATCTGCCAGGAGGACAGCAGAATTCCTCCTGGAATTTCTCTGAGGACACTGTGGTCTCTATTTTGAACACTATCAATGAGGTTATTGCTGAGAACTTGGAGGCTGCCAAAAAACTTCGAGAGACACAGGGTATTGAGAAGCTGGTGCTGATCAACAAATCAGGGTGAGCTCACCATTTAAAATTACAGTCAGAAGAATTTGAGTGTGAGTGGGGAGTAGTTGCTTTCCTCATTTTCTTTCTAAGATTATTTTCTCTTACTTATGTGTGAAGTGTGAAAAACTGTTACTCTATTTTCTGTCCTTACGTTGATCTATAAGCTGATACTAGACTCTTAAGCCAAACATTTTTGTGTTATTGTTTGGGATAGACTACAGGATTTGGTAGAAACTGTTTTTGTCTATTTTATGTTCTTTTTTACCTTTTAATTTTTAATGTGTTTTTTTTTGTTTTGTTTTATTAAACTTTATTTTTTATTTTTTTTTTTTTGAGTTGGAGTCTCACTCTGTCACCCAGACTGGGTGGAGTGCAGTGGTCGCTCCTGGCCACCGCAGCCTTGACCTGTTGGGCTCCAGCGATCCTTCCGCCTCAGCCTTCCAAGTAGCTGGAACTACAGGCGCGTGCTACCACACCCGGCTAATTTTTTGATTTATCGTAGAGATGAGGTCTCGCCAAATTGCCCAGGCGGATCTCAAACCCGCAGGTTCAGGCAATCCACTCACCTCAGCCTCCCAAAGCGCTGGGATTACAGGCTGAGCCACCGATCCCGGCTAATTTTTAATGTTTTTTAGAGACAGGGTCTCTCTCTGTTACCCAGCCTGGGGTGCAATGGTGTGATTGTAGCTCATTACATCCTTTTTTTGTTTGTTTGTTTGTTTTGAGTTGGAGTCTCACTCTGTCGCCCAGATTGGAGTGCAGTGGCACACTCCTGGCCACCGCAACCTTGACCTGCTGGGCTCCAGCTATACTTCCGCCTCAGCCTTCTAAGTAGCGGGAACTACAGGTGCGCTACCACGCCTGGCTAGTTTTTTTGATTTATTGTAGAGATGAGGTCTCGCCAAGTTGCCCAGGCGGGTCTCAAACCCGCAGGCTCAGGCGATTCACTCACCTCAGCCTCCCAAAGTGTGGGATTACAGGCTGAGCCACTGAGCCCAGCCTCATTACATCCTTGAACTCCTGGGCTCAACTTATCCTCAGCCATAGCCTTCTGAGTAGTTGAGACTACAGGTACACACCACCACATGGCTAGTTTTTTATTTTCTGTTAGAGATGGAATCTTGCTATGTTGCCCAGACTGGTTTTGAACTCCTGGGCTCAAGTGATCTTTCTACCTCCACCTCCCAAAGTGCTGGGGTTATAGGTGTGAGCTACTGAGTGTGCCTGGCCAGTGTTTATATTCTTTTTTTTTTTGAGTTGGAGTCTCACTCTGTTGCCCAGACTGGAGTACAGTGGCCGTTTCCCGGCCACCACAGCCTCGACCTGCTGGGCTCCGGCTATCCTTTCGCCTCAGCCTTCTGAATAGCCGAATTACAGGCATGTGCTACCACGCCCGGCTGATTTTTTGATTTATTGTAGAGATGAGGTCTTGCCAAGTTGCCCAGACAGGTCTCGAACCTGCGGGCTCAGGCAATCCACTCACCTCAGCCTCCCAAAGGCGTGGGATTACAGGCTGAGCCACCAAGCCCAGCTCAGCGTTTATATTCTTACGTTATTATTAGAGAGTAAAGGTTCTAAGCTTCTTTGCTGGTCGGACCTCCAAATTCCATATGGCATTACTTTCCTCAAAAGGAACCGCTCAGAAAAAGAAGTTCGAGCTGCAGCACTTGTATTACAGACAATCTGGGGATATAAGGAACTGAGGAAGCCACTGGAAAAGGAAGGATGGAAGAAATCAGACTTTCAGGTATAACTCTTGAGACCAAGACTTTTTTTTTTTGACTCCAGGGTATCGCTTCTGTCTTCTTTGGTTTCTTCTATTTTGCTATCACAGTAAATCCATTTTGACCCAAGTCTCTTAAATAGTAGATATTATTTGGTTCCTCCTCAAAAGAATGGGGTGCCTTCAGTTCATTTGTTGCCGGAACAGCTCTGGTTCCCCTCTAGGTCATAACACACTGTAGGTGCTGATGGTGATAAAGGATGATGATAGCATTTTAAATTTTTCCCCAAATGTACCATAGCCCTTTAAGGGAATTTACAATTCTCTGACACTATTGTTCCTTCTGATAGTATCAATGTTTGGATCCTTTTTAATCTCCTATTCAGGAACACAAGTAGGAGCCATAATGCCTTGGTGTTTCACTATGTAGGGTATTTATTCAACCCTTATGAGTTGCCTTTCATAAGAGCTGTATGTGGGAATAGCAGCCTAGAGGTTTATGCTCATTAGAGAACGAGATATGGGTGAATTCAGTATTCTATGACATTATTGGATTTTGTGTGTGCCTTCAGGTGAATCTAAACAATGCTTCTCGAAGCCAGAGCAGTCATTCATATGATGACAGCACTCTCCCTCTCATTGACCGGAACCAAAAATCAGGTACAGTGTTCAGAGGGCACAACCTTCTCCTTTTATCCTCTCCTTCTATTCTTTAGTGGGCTTACTACCTATGAAATCGGTTATGTATTTATTTCTGAATGACCTAGTGTTTTGTGGGAAGGGAATAACACTCTATTTCAGGATTGTAACGCAGAAGCAGGTAGGTCTAAGCGTTAGAAATTATAACAAAACAGATAATTAAGCTGGGTGTGATTTCCCCATCATTGCTTGTGGAAAGTAAACCCTAGTCTTAGTCTCTTTAGATTTTCTCTGTTTACTATTACAAAATTACAAAATACAGACTACCAAAAAAATGAAAACTCTCTTGTTTCAATTGCCAAGCAATAACCACTGTTATGTTGGGTTATATCTTTTTTTTGTTTTGTTTTGGGTCAGAATCTCACTCTGTTGCCCAGGCTAGAGTGCAGTGGCACACTCATGGCCACCGCAGCCTCAACCTGCTGGGCTCAGGCAATCCTTTCGCCTCAGCCTTCCAAGTAGCTGGAACTACAGGCCACCACGTCCGGCTAATTTTTTAATTTATTATAGAGACTGGTCTCACCATGTTGCCAGGCTGGTTTTGATCCCATGGGCTCAGGCAGTACTCTTGCCTCCACCTCCCAAAGTGCTGAGATTACAGCTGTAAGCCACTGCACTGGGCAGGTTGTCTTTTTAAACATTTTTCCATGTAAGCAAACACATTTTTCCCTAAGAGATGCCTTGTATATTTTGTTTTGTAGGTTTTTTCTTTTCCACTTAAAGTGTATATTGTAACCCTTATTATTTTAGTAACACTTGACTTTTTCCTTGATCATTGGTTCTTAAAGTATGACCTAGAGTCCCAAGACTGTTGACATTTGTACTGATGGCACAGATGTGTGGTGCTTACTACTAGTAGCTTAGCACAAACCAGGGCAGCAAATTATTTTCTACCCTTGAGTATACATTTTTAAAGTATTGTGTGTTGACGAAATAGGAAATACTCATAAAGCGGTCCTGCTTCGTACCAAAACATGATGGCTATCTAGAGGAAAAACACTGTGTTGTTGGAGTTACTAATGGGACTAGCCACTTTTTAAATGGAATACCATTTTTACTTGGAAAATATGCTTAGCAGACAATCTGATTAGTTAGATGTGAATATTTGGCAAACATTTTCTCAAAAATGAATGCAGTGGGCTTGACACTTTGAGGAAAATAACTGACAGTGTTTGTTGCCTGAGCTTTCTTGTGAAAATTGTAATTTTGAAAAACTTTATCTGCCACTGTGTGTCTGGTTACTTCCCAATACTTAAAAAGACCTTTCTAATGAAATAAGTGGTGATATTAATGAATGTGGTTTTTAAAAAATACTGTATAATGAGATGTGTTAACATTTGGAACGTCTACATAACTCTGTGAACCAGTATTTTACAAGTGATCAATACTTGATGTTTCAAAATCATGCATGCATAATTGATCCGTTCAAAGTGTAAGACAGATCAATGGATTTTAATTTAACAGAATATGAAGGAATTGTTAATTTGGTTTCAGATTCCACATTACTGCTGACCTTTAAGAAACTACTACTTATTAGTATACTACCAAAGAAGAAGAGCCACAATTATCTGAAAAGACCATTAAAATCTCCTCCCTACCCCGGGTGTGGTGGCTCATGCTTGTAATCCCAGCACTTTGGGAGGCTGAGGCAGGAGAATTGCTTGAGCCCAGGAGTTCAAGACCAACCTGGGCAACACAGTGAGACCTTGTCTCTATAAAAAACACAAAAATTAGTTGGGCATGGTGGCGTGTGCCTGTAGTCCCAGCTACTTGGGAGACTGAGGTGAAAGTAGTGCCTGAGCCTAGGAGGTCATGGCTGTGGTGAGCCAGAATCACCGACCGTACTCTAACCTGGGTGACAGAGTGAGATCCCAACCCCTCCCCCCCCAAAAAAATGGTTGTGGGAAAGAATCTTTCCAAGGCTCATGAGGGCTTTGATAACAGCTGTAGAGTTGTGATTTGTGCATGGTATATAGTAGGTGCTATAAGTAGAGGTCTGAATGAAAGGAATGAGGAAAGTCTAGAACAATTTTTATGATGTGTATAGATTTTGAAGAGTTGGTTTTTTACACAGATAACTTTCTGACTCCATATAGATAAGAAACTTGATCGGGAAGAAATTCAGATGAGCAGTATGGGATCAAACACAAAATCACTAGGTAGGTGATTAGTTCCTGCCTTAAGGGTGTAGAGTGATATTTCACTGGGCTGAGGAAAGTAGTCTAGCACTGTAGTTTTTTCTAACACATTTACCATCCTAAGGGAGCATTAGCTGATCCGTTTCCATTTGGAAGCATGTAAAGAAATCTAGTAAAACTTGATTCATCTACTTTTCCCACATGCTCAGAAGTTTTCAGAAAGTCTTCTATGTCTCCCTGATTACTACAGGCTCACGTCTGTGTCCGTAAACTTATTTACAGCCTATCACAGTTCGACCTGGTCTCCTTCTCTGGAGTACAGGGTCACACTCTGACTCTGCCCACCTGGTCTATTCTCTGGAATACATGGTCACACTGTCTCTGCCCACCTGGTCTACTTACTGTTCTTTTTTCACTCTATTTTTTTGCTCATGTAATGCCTCCTACTGGAATGTGTTTCCCATTTGCTTTTCTAAATTCATTATATTTTACTATATCCCCAAAGACTTAACTCCTATTCTCCCTGGTCGGGTCATTCCTAACTATTATGGCACAATTCACTGTTGGTATTTAATTCCAATACCCTTTACAGACAGATCGCTTCTGTTTACTTTATTATCATACATCATACTCTGGGTATTTCATATATATTGTCTTCCTTTTTAGATTTAAGTTCTTTTTAAGTCAGGGACCATCAGATTTGAATGCCTTTCTGGAGCATTTGGCAAAGCTCAGTTCCCAACAAATGTGCATAATTTACATTTATCTGCTTTATATATTGTACACTAGAAGGGAATGTCATGTTTCTGTGTACTTTTTTCATTAGATAACAACTATTCCACACTGAATGAGAGAGGGGACCACAACAGAACACTGGATCGATCTGGGGATCTAGGCGATATGGAGCCATTGAAGGGAACACCCTTGATGGTAAATTCTCTTTACATGCTGTTGTCTGTCTGAGGCTAGTTCTAATTTGAAACCTGTGTGCTTTGTTACATGCGAAAATAAGTACAGAAAGAAAGATGGCATCCTTTCCTGGTAGGGGTTTTTCAGAAAAAGTAAGGGAATTGCCTTATGTTAGAATTTCTTGGGCCATTGTTCTGCTGTGGTCTGAATGGGGAAAGCAACCTGTAAACCGATAATGATAGGACTAACACTAACTGATCTATGCTCATATGTTACCCTCTTCCCGTCCCTGCCTGTTTATGAATGTTTTGCTCTTCTCTTACTATTATATCTTGTTTTGTTTGAGTTTACAAATTTGGGGAGTTTCCCTAGGTCTGGCACACATTCAGTGAGGTTCCTGTTTCTTTACTCATACTAACAAATTGCATGTGTTCACAGCAGGACGAGGGGCAGGAATCTCTGGAGGAAGAGTTGGATGTGTTGGTTTTGGATGATGAGGGGAACCAGGTGTCTTATCCCCCTGTGGTATGTCCTCCAGTCACCCCTAAGACAGTCCTTGAGGAAGGAGGCTCTGGTGTGCCAGCAATTTGCCAATCATGCTGATCTGATCAGGCCAGAGACTCTAGTCTCAGCCACATGGGGCTTGGAGAGTTCTGCTTCTGTGATTATTACCTCTTAAGAGGCTGGGACGTGCAGCTGGTGGTCTGATTCTCTATGATGTGGTGCTTTCCTTCCTCCAGATTTGCGCAACTGTCTTTTTTTGGGATTCCTTATTCCCAACCCCATTAACACCCTCTCTTTCTCTTTTTTCTCCACAGCAGAAGATTTAGCACCACTGTCTCCGCTCCATCTGGGCTTATAATATATGTACTTTTATTTTTTGGTGGTGAGATGGACTGATGATTTTCCTTTTTCTTCGCTGGACTATTGTGCCAACTGCCAGGCTGCCTCCTGCCCTTGCAGCCCTAAGTGGCTGCCTTCTTTCCATCGACTCCCAACTTCTTCCAGTGAAGTTTAATTGTCCCACTCCCCCACACATCCCCTCCAATTTCTCCCAAGAAGCCTGCCTCAGTTATTTGCGTATCTTGAGAAACTGCACAGATTAGCTCTTTCTGCCAGCTCTCCCTGGACCTCTTGGCCTTGAGTGGAGGGAGGGAGAGAATGGAAATCTTCACTGAAAGTGTGGGAAAAATATGCTGTATGTGCGATGTCCAGCAGTCTGATAAACTGATGATTCTTAATCAAGGTTTTTTTTCCTGGTGGGGAAGGGACTTTTTATTTTCTTTTAGAGAAGGGGAAGTGTGAGCTCTCCCTTATTCCTGCTAATGGCTATTTTTGAAGCAAAGAAGGCCGGCAACATTGGCACATTCCACCTGGCAAGGGCCCTTGAGTAAGTGACAGTCTCCTGGAACTGGGACTAAGAAACCTTGCTCTCCTCATCTTTGAGGCAGGGACTGTCAAGGACCTACAGACTCCATCTCTTCTGCAAGCCTCATGCCAACCCTGGGGCTGCTGCCCCTTACAGAGGCTGTCCTGAACTTTCCTCTCCCACCCTGTGATGTGTCTGCTGACTTGACCTGGCCGTTTACAAGAGGCTATAGAAAGAGGATAATGTCAAGGAAGACTATTTAGTTGAAAAGGAGCAGAAAGATATCTTTTGGAAAGAAGAGGAACTTCTAGGAGGAGCTAGTAGGAATGTACATGAAGCGGTTAGTCTGAAACTGGCAGGAAGCTTCAAAACTGGCTCCCCCCCCGCCCTATTTCTTTTCCTACCCTTATAGACCTGCCCCCTGCCTCTACCCTGGAATGGTTGGCCAATTAAAGGACTTGATGTACATAACTCCTGTCCCCTTTACCCTTATAAGGTGAGGATTGCCCCTGGCTTTGCCTCTTCTTTGTGCCTTTGGCCTGGGGTGCATCTCCTTTCTCCCTTCCACGTGCCTTTCTTTGCCTCTGCAGTCTCATTTCTCATAATTTTGCAAATTATATTTTGTTGCTTTCTTATCTACTGTTGGCCCTAAATAGCAGAAAGAAAAGAAGTGACCTAGGGAACCTCAAATTATCCACTGGGGACTAGTATAGCCTCTGATTTCAGCCATCGCAATCTTGTGCTCAATAACATATGGTTGGGATTTTGCAAAATCTTGTTCTGATGAACCTCAGAGTGCAGTTGGTGGGAGGAGTAAGTCGTGTGACTCTTATTCCTTAGGTGCCCAGAATTTGCCATCTTCTCTGAAGGGGCTATAGGGAAGTGGTCTTTCCTAGTTGCCCCTCCCACCCCCAATACTATACCACTCATCTCACTGTAGTGCATATTAACTGGTTGGGCTAAAGAAATCAGCTGCTATGCGGGTTGATTATTTTTTTTTAAGCCTTTTCCTTCTTTGCCTTCTACTCCCCTTAACCTAAAAGCTCTTTTTCATGCAACTGGAATTATTTATCCCTCTCTTCCCCTTCCCTTATATATTGAGGCTATGGGGTAGGAGAAAAGTGCACAACCCACCCCCCCTTCTCCATGCATTAAAATTCCTTATTTACCTTTATTCCCCCTCCCATTTCTTCCCCCTCTTATCCACATTCTCCAGCAGAAAGGAGCCTTTTGCTCTCTGACCCTAAGAGCACACTGCACAGGGCAGATTGCCCCCATCCAGACTTGGCTCCACTCTTGGTTTCTCTTGTTCTTCTCTGCTGTTTTCCTGGTGCTCTTTTTTCTCGGTGGGGGTGTGGGTAACAGAACAGCGGTGTGGGCTTTTGGGGACCTTCACCTGTTTGTTTTTGTTTTTGTTTTCCTCTTTTGTTTATACAAACACTAAACATTAAACTTCAGAGAACCAAAAATCCCACCTTACCACCGAACACTACTAAGGGGCTTGTCTTCTGCTCCATACCGTTTCTCTTTTCTTTCTCTCTTGTTAATGCTTTTAAAAACAAATGAGTTTTTTATATAAATAAAGTTTTTAAAGTGTATATGTGGGGGATCTGTGTCATTTCTTCACTTCATGCTGTTGTTTCTTCTTTGCTTTTCATCTTGGTTACTTCCTTTATGTATCAGTGTCCTTCTTTACGAGCAACCAGAAGGAGGTTATACCAGGATTTATTTTGAGCTCAGCCCCACTCTTATCAACCAACATTCTTTTTGATTATATGTGAAATTTTCTATTCCCTGAAGAGTCTTAAAAATTAAGATGTGGCTGAAGTTGAGCATGAGAAGCTTACTGCTAACTTAGAGATAAGAAACTGAAGTCCAAAGAATAAATGACTTAATTAGTCACTGGGATTCCTTTGCAACATTTTGTAAAACTAACATTGAATATAGCCTACTGCAATGCATAGCCCTCTCAAACTGACACTTATGAATAGAAGGTTAGACGCTACCAACCCCAACTGCCATCCTAATAAATACAAAAATGTAGAGTTAAAAGGCCTATGTTATTATAAGTACTGATTACTTGGCCATAATGTCGTTTCTCAGGCTATATGCAATCCTTTAGTCAGAAGACAATAGGGCTGTTTATTTGACAGACCGTATTATTTGGTAGGACACAAAGGGTGTCTACCAAATAGTATGAGAGTGGGTAGCAAATACTTGTTGGATTACCAGGGATTATCTTTACTTCAGAGGCCAAGGACTAAGACCTATGGAAGGAGACTTATTTTTCTCAGGCCCTTATGTCCTGTGATATAATGAAAGATTCAAGAGAATTTATGTAAAATGCTTTCTGTATGCCCGGATCTTTAGATTAAAATTATATAGCTGCTCCTGATGATGGTCCTGTCTCTTTTTGTTGAACTAGGACTTGGGTATGAAAACTTTCTTGGGCTAGTAAGGCCAGGAACTCTTAACTGTTACCTTTTAAGGCTTAATTTGTGTCTGACAGTTGTAACCTTAGAAGGATGAAGTACAAAGCCTAAGAGTTTGCTTTCCAAAGAGTTTTGATGGCCCCACTTGAGATGATTATCTGTGTAGAAAAACCTGGCTACTGGTCAACAGCCTTTTATTTCCCTGTTATATTCTTTATTATTCACTGGTGTTAAGCTAGTTATAAACCCTCCTTTCTTCTCTGTTGTTTCTGGATTGGCCCATTTGTTTTTATCTCATTCCATAAATATTTGCCAAGCACCTCCTACATGTTAAACCTTGTGTGGAGATTAGGTCTAGATTAAGAGAATTCAAGAGATGGATCATTTCTCACAGATTGCAATACACGAGAATCCTATATAGCTAAGATCTATGATATTTTAAAGACATTTCTTCTCTTTGTACCCTTATCTAAAATGAGGTGTTAAACAGATCTTTGAAGGCTCTCTGTCTCTGAAGTTTCTTGACACTGGTTTAGTAATGCTTTTGAAGCCTCTTGATAGCTCTTCACACCAGCTTCAGGAATCCTTTGGCTTTTGTCAAGATTTGCCCATGTCCTTCCAGATCCTTTAGAACCTTTTTCTGGAAGTGGTTGAAGATGATCAACTGCCTCAACAAGGCTTTTTTTGAGGCCATGATAGGTAGCTGTAGTCTTGTTGGCTGTAGTTTCTGACAGAGCTCAAAGCTGGGAACTCACTTGATTACTTGTTCTTGCTGAGCTAATGTACTTTGCTTCAAACTGGAAACATGTCACCCAGGAAGAACTGAGGATCAGTCTTTTCATATCATTCTTTCTCATTTTCTCTATATCTGAAATAAAGGTTTCTCTTGGTATTTTTATAGACCAAAGTATAGGCCAACTAGACCTAGTCTTGTAGATCTGAGCAAGTATATAAGAACTGCCTGGATGCTTGTTGAAAATGCAGATTCCCATATTCCATTTCCAAGACTTTATTCAGTAGGTGGGACTCAGGAATCTAAACTCTTAGTCACCTAGGTGGTTATGATGTATGTGGTCAGTTACGTCAACTCGAGACATTGATCTAGTGACTTGCTTAAGATTACAGCCTCAAACCAGGATAACTGGCTCTAGCTTCACTGGCAGTAATACTGGTTCGTGGTGAGTGTAGATAATATGGTATAGTGATCACCATGTTAAGAGAGAATTCATAGAGGAAATGATGTTTACCTCGAAGGAATTGCTTACAGCAGAATTTGAGGTAATAGTAAATTATAGGCTGGGTAGGAGAAATTTTTTATCCTGCAAGTCATATCATGTAGGTAATGCTCAGGCTGCTGGTGGGGGGAAGCTAGTCCTTGATGTGGGGCCTTCTAGCACAGAGAAGCCCCTCAAATGGCTGACTTTCTGGTTATAAAGGGAACTTCAACTGGGGAGCAAGTGGCCCCACTGACCACTGCCGAGGAGACCAATGCCTGAAAACTTTAAATCACTCTAGAGAACCTACCTCAAGGAAACTCAAAAAAAGTGCAAAACACATTGCTAGGAGGAGATTTTTTCATGTAACTTTAAGACCTTTTGAGTTTTCTGTTGTCTTTGTCACTTAAAGCATTAGTTTTTCAGTTGATCCACCCTAAATTCTGGATGGATCAACTGAAGACATGGATGGAGAAAAGGCTGGAGGAAGTGAGGTAGGGAAAGCATCAATAAAAGTCATTTTGATTGATCTGTTTTATTTATTTGATTTTTTTGAGTTGGAGTCTCACTGTCACCCAGGCTGGAGTGCAGTGGCACACGCTCACAGCCACTGTAGCCTCGACCTGCTGGGCTCAGTTGATCCTTCCACCTCAGCCTTCCAAGTATCTAGAACTACAGGCATGCCCCACCACATCTGGCTAAATTTTTGATTTATTGTAGAGACAGGTCTCGCCAAGTTGCCCAGGTTGATCTCAGGCAATCTTCTCACCTCAACCTTCCAAAGTTCTGGGATTATAGGTGTGAGCCACTGTGCCCAGTGATCTGCATTGTTTTAGTTTGATTTATGTTTTTCTGCTTATATGCAGTGTAAAGTGACTGTCATGGATAGGACCACCTATCCATGAATCGATTGAGTGAAGACCTTTATACTTGTTACAGTTGTAAGCACGTGGTAACTAGCTTTTTAAAAAATTTTACCTGAGAAAGTGAATACGTATCTCCATATACATCTCTATCTTCATTGTTGAAAAGGACAGGTTATTCTACTTTTATTGATGGAGAAAAAGGGATTATTACCTTGCTGTCCTTCCCCAATATCTTTAGTGCTGATGGACAAAATAGTCTGAATGCCATAAGGCATTTGTTCCTGAGGAAAAGAAAAGGAAATACAAGATATCTCTGGTGATGTTCCAGACACTTCTTACCCACTTCCTGTTTTCACCCCAATCTCTTTTTTCCCCCTCCACCTTTAAGACAGTAAAGCATTGGTCTTTCTACAACTTTGTTGTCAGAATTGGGACAGGGGGAGCACAGTGTGTGTATAAAGAAGTAATTCAGCCTTCTGTTGTTGGCAGTTTGGTGGATTAGGTATTCTGAAAAGTTTTTTCAGCAGAAGCAGCTAAGATGCTAGGTAAATATATTTGTTAAAAAATTTTAACTGGAGCCAGCCTCGGTGGCTCAGCCTGTAATCCCGCGCCTTGAGAAGCTGAGGTGAGTGGATTGCCTGGGCCTGTGGGTTCGAGACCCACCTGGGCAACTTGGCAAGACTTCATCTCTACAATTAAAAAAAAAAAATCAGCTGGGCATGGTAGCACATGCCTGTAATTCCAGCTACTTGGAAGGCTGAGGCGAAAGAATCGCCGGAGCCCAGCAGGTCAAGGCTGCAGTGGCCGCAGTCTGGGCGACAGAGTGAGACTCCAACTCAAAAAAAAAAAAAAATTTTTAACTGGGCATGGTGGCTCATGCCAGTAATCCCAACCCTCTGGGAGGTTGCAGCGAGAGGATTGCCTGAGCCCAAAAGTTTGAGACCAGCCTGGGCAATGTGATGAGACCTCGTCTTTACAATAAATGGTAAAAATTAGCCCGGTGCGGTGGCATGCACCTGTGGTTCCAGCTACTTGGAAGGCTGAGGTGGAAGCATTGCCTGAGTCCAGCAGGTCTGACTATGGCAGCCATGATCGTGCCCCTGAACTTCAGCCTGGGCGACAGAGACTCTGACTCAAAAAAACTTTTTTTTTTTAAAACATTGCTGAACAGACAGAAAAGTAAGGAATCCACAGATCTTCAAAATGAAGCAAAAGCTGGAATCCCAGGAAGTAACTGCTAAAGCCAACTTTTTATTCAGCATTTTTACCAGATTTTTCAGACCATAACCTTCCACGTTAGTGACTATACAAAGAATGGGAAACAGGAAATGAGAAATCTGTCAGGTCTCCTCATGAAGGTGAATATCCTCAATGTAAAGGTGGGTGAGAAATAAACAATCCATAGAAGCAGGCAGCAAGTCCAAACTTCATGGTGACAGCTGTAACCTCACGCTAAGCAAAAATAAAAAGGGAGCAATAAGGAACTTATTTGTCTCAACTTTGGTGCTAGGTGGACAGTAAAGTATTTTCCCTGAGAACTACAAATGGACTCCTGTGAGCTTTTATCCAAACTTAGGTTACCTGTTTGGGCCAAAAAGCTTAAGCAGGGAATTGAAAGTGGTACTGGGTTTTGTTTCCAGATGATTCCCAGTTGCAAATGCAGTGCTTCTGAGGCAGGAGTGTCCTTTGGCTTCCCTGGGTTGCGTCAAGTAAACAATTGTCTTGGACTGCACATAAATTATATAATTAGTGTACATACATAAGACTTTTAAGCAGTTTTTTTTGCAACTTTATAAAGTTTAGAAAAATGAGAACAACATACAACTAATGGGAAATTTGACCTTGTTTCTTTAAGATGAATCAATGTCTGGTTCGATGGAAGCGGTCACAATTCTTAGTTCTCAAGGTGCTTGTCAGAAATGTCCAAATTTTGTTCTTTGCGTGCTTCATAACTGGAAACAGCTGCTTACAAATATATGTGCTGCTGAAAATGATGTCATGAATAAAAGACGTGATTGTGAACTTCAAAAATGGAACTATACATGGGGTCACAAAAATAAATGGTAAACATGATGGTAAACGATT